GGGAACCATTCCGGTGTCATATGTAGGGCGTTGCCAAAACACTTTTATTGGAGACCCGCTGAACAAGTTGTTCCGATCAGCAAAAGCCTTAGCTGCCAGCTCGGGAGTCGGAAATTCAACTGCCACATGCGCTGCAGCATACGCACTGTCTTGTTTCACATCAATTTTAACATCGCCATAGCTTGAAAATACTGGCTTGAACTTTTCTTCGTTTAAGTCTTCCCGCGGTACACTCACACACACCAGAGTCTTCTGGCCTTCAAAGGCAGGTTCACGTATACCAGCAGGACCCCAGAACCTGCGATCTATGCGCTTGAGCGGCTGGGATTGGCTACTTGTATCAGGCATCGCTATTTGAGGAGAGAAATTAGAGTCATTATTAAGGAAAGATCCCTGCTTTAAAGCTTGCAGAGCCTCCTCGACAAAAGTCTGAGAGTGATCGCCCAGGAAGGTATGAAGCTGGTTCACGGTGTCGGGACCAATTTGCTCGAGTGAACCATCGCGCGTCAGTAAAGAAACCGCATAATCTGTGAGAATTTCCAGGTCTTCTTTCACGTATTTGCTTAATGCCTCAGTGACCCAAGATCTATAGGCAGTAATTGCTGAGTCCATGAACTGTCGGTGGGTGGGTAAGTGGTTGTCGAAGTACAGAAACCTTATGATGACCATGCAAAAAAAAAAGGTACAGGTATAATGTAATATACAAGTAATAAGAATCTTAAAGTGAAGCAAAGAAATTACAGGAACCGATTCCTGAGAATATCTGCGAGCAAATAGTTGCACTCTGCTATCTACAACAAGACTCACCTGGCGCCAGCCTATTGGCAGCAAATAAAAATCCAAATAGAAAAGACAACATGCTCAATAAAATAAGTATTCCAAATAAAATAGACAACATGCTCAGTAAAATAAGTAATCCATATAAAAAAGACAACATGCTCAATAAAACCCATAATGTACAATCACATGTAAATAAAAAAACCCAACATTCAGAAATAAATAAACGGTGTGAATATGTGAACAAACAAAAGTATAACAAATAGTCGCTTTCACGGAGAATGTTTTCTTTTACTCCGTGGCGAAGATAAAATCATTAATGACTGGATAGCGTCATCTTCATCATCAGTGCGAGACTGCACAGGCGAAGTATCAACCTCTAATTTCTCCGCCACACCGGAACGAGAAGCGTCGTTGCTGTGGCTATCAGTCGATATCGACATAGAAATCGGAGGTGGTAAGGGGTAAGGATTGGTATAAGCATGAAATCCAGCACGTTGGCCAATGTCAGTTTCAGATGAAGCCCTTCTATGAAGCGATCGAGGCTTTCGATAGGCTTTCAGTCTGCTGGCAAGAGAAACCCGATGTTTGTGAGGGCTTAACGATTGAGTAGAGTTCGTAGAAGGTACGCGATCGTACGGTCCAGTAAACCCTGTATTAGGCAAAGTGGTACTGGAAGCTGCAGATGTCGAACTGTTCGAACCGACTAAAGGTTCAATATCTTGAATACTCTGACGAGTCCATCCGTGCTCAACTTTAACCATGGCATAAGTTAGACGCTGTTTCAGTTGCTCTGAGAATTCACTGATCTTCTCACGATTAACTCTGGGCCGCAGTGGTGTAGCTAAGAATGAATAATCTTCCTCCGGTAATAATCTCTCAGGCGTTCTCACACCGGAAAGTTTCTCGTCGTCTATTATAACGGCATTTGATTCCGGAGAATCGTCAGCGGCCACATTGATATCTAGAACAGCCAATTTCGATTTAGCAGGATCTGCGGCACTTTCAGGTTGTGATGATGATGATAATGGACCATCCGAGGGTATTGGCTCATCATGAGAGGCAGGGTATGAGCGATCGGACGTCTTCTCTTTAGTAGAGGCATCGTCTGCATTATCAGAGTTATGTGGAGGCTCCTGTATGTTTCCATGTGGCTCACTGTGTTTTGATAGTGTACCTGAAGAGCTCGATTCAATTAGATCCGACACAGATAACGACATGGAGGGTTTCCGCAAAGTGGCAGAATCTGCCATGTTGTGGCAGAATAAGAAGTGAAAGGTTGAGAGGGGGGAAATAGAACAAGAATAGAAAGGAAAGAAAACCGATAAAGAAGTACAAGTACCCAAACTACCGCTAGATTATGCTTTCTTTGTATGCTAGCGATAAGATTTGAGAGAGTTACAAATAAACGACTTATTCGTGAGATAGAAGAGATCGATCAACTTTGAGGATCATAAACGTAACCGCTAGAGCCAGAATCGTACCTGCAGATGTATGATTAATTATGAATAAAAACTCAGACAGCTGTTCCTGTTATTCAGTAAACGATGCTGCTTGTTAGTCGGCGTTAGCGGGTTAGATCCGTTTTGTCCGGGCAAGGATGGGCGAAAAGGTAGGCAGGTCAAAATGATAAAGGAGTTGGTGGTGTATCGCTGCGGCGAACACAGAAAAGGGAGACGAATAAAGGACGATAATATATAAATAAGAGTATCGCCTGCAAGCGCGCAAGCTTAAACCTCAGAATCAAAATTGATCGGTATAAAATGGTCTGAAAGTTCCTGTATTTATTTAGATCGCCACTGTGTACAAAGCTAAAAGCGGATGGTCGGTTCAAGCCATTGGGTTAGATAATCTAGAGTGTTTGGCTGGTACGCGTGAATCACGTGATGTTTTAGGTTTGGTATTTCCTGGTTCAACTTATGTTCAGAAACTTGTATCTAAATGTAGATGCTGTCAGTTGCGACAGCAGTGTATGGAATTATTTTTTTCTATGTTGTTTACAGCAGCGTCGGTGGTGTTCTGCAGCGTATTGTCTCGGAAGGGCGGTAGCGGGGCGTGCGGGATGGAAAGACAGTTATTCGTTACAATTATAAGGTTAGTCCGGGGAAAAAATAGAGCTCATATTTGACGTATGCCTCCGCCCTAAGGCCATTTATTCAGTTTTCTTAGCTCAACGAGATTTCCGCATGGATAGCATAACGGAGCGGATCGAGGGAATTCCTGGATTTAGTATTATTCAAGACAAATGGAACGATTTTGCTGGCAGCAAATATAACTGTAAAGACCCTTTCTTTGACGAGTCGACACATAAGAGACTACGAGTGCCAGAAGGAGCTACCGAGGAAGAGAAAGCGACTTGGAAAAAAGTACAATCCGCAGCGTGGAATCACGATAAATGTTTCTGTGGATGTATGGCTATAGGCACTTGTTGTTGTGGCTGTGAAGGAATTGGTATTGGATCGGCACCTATTGCCGCTATTATTCCGGTGATCGGCCCGGTGGCTATGTACGCAGTACATGAACGTGTGTGCAGCGAAGCGGAAAAAGGACTCAATATCCCCTTGAAACTTCAAGCTCAAATGCATGCAAACTCTCTTTTTGATCTGGCTGTGTCTCTTGTACCAATTCTTGGTATCTTATTCTCGTGGATGAATAGCTGCTCCACCAGGAACGCGCGATTGATCTACACCTACCTCTATCAAACTATTGAATCCCGCAACAGACAAAATCATAGCGGTCGCATCACTGGAATGTCAGTTGTCGATCCGCCAGCTTATCCGCCAAGAAACAACAATCATTATAACCCTAATGCTCACCAATCAGTCTAGTTCGCATACTATATAGTACGCATTGTCGCCCAAACGACAGGTCCCTCTTATAAAGGGCTGTCCCGAATGGCTTCATCAGCTGCTCTTCGCATGATCTTTTCTAATCCCTACTTTTACCACAATACTGTTTAACCCATTCTTGTTCATATTTTTCATCTTACTAGGCTTTGAGCTTCATCTCTGCTCAGCCTCCTATATTTATCCTATGATCATCTGGCTATTCCTACCGGTAGCCGCAGCGAGACTCAAGTTCCCTTCGTGGCTCACAAACATTACAGGCCTTCATGAATGGCCGGACGATAATCCTCCCTACATCGACATGGGCATTGATTTGGAAAACATAATCGCCCTGCCTGAGCGACAGCACACTCTGTGCCCGAACAACCCCAACGACTGCTTTTTCGACTGCAACCAATGCACCCGTCCAGGCGATATCCAGACGTGCGATGTTCTTACACAGACGTTCGATGACGGGCCTTCCTCTCATACTCACCGGCTGCTCGATCACCTGGAAACATCAGAAACGCTATCTACGTTCTTTCTCATTGGCAAGAACGTGGTCAAGTTTCCGGACGTCGTCAGGCGACAAGTAAAGGAAGGCCACGTAGTTGCCTCTCATACTTGGTCTCATAAATTCCTCCCGTCTCTTTCTAATAGAGACGTTGCCGCACAATTGCAATGGACCGCGTGGGCCATCTACGCTGCTGCCGGTGTTGTACCTCGATATTTCCGCCCACCTTATGGAGGCATTGACGACAGAATCAGGGCAATTCTGGACATATACAACCTAGAGGTAGCATTGTGGAGTAAAGACACTTACGATTGGAGGCTTCTAGAACCGGTCTACGGTTATTCTGTTGAAACTGTCGCGAATGAGATCAGGGGCTGGAAAGAACAGGGCAGTGGTGGAATCATGCTGCAGCATGACTTCGACGGCTTGCTAGTTGATGTCGATATACTCGCAGCAGATATAGTGGGTTCTAACCAGAAAACAATAGCTGAATGTGTCGGTGGCAGGAAGGACCTACGAAGAGGCTTGCCTTACTTCACTATAAGCGAACTAAAAAAGAAAAGGCGCAAGAAGAAACTTAAGGCTACTTCTCCCCCTGCAGGTTCGGTTCCGATACTGGCAAAATTTGACGATCAAGCCAAACAGTCTCGTGCTCGCCGTCGACGACTTAAGACCAAATACTTGAACAGGCAGCCTTCGTTTAAGCCAAAGACCAAACAGACAACAAAATCGAAATCGAAACTGCGGTCTTCTCATTAGTTACCAATCATTCTGTATCTCTAATATTAATGTCCGTTGAATGTCTATAAGCACGTGTAGACGATTAAATAGCAAATAACAATTGACCTGACATATGATAAGAAACCGAACAAAAAAAAAGAAATTAGCGATGCGTAGTTTCGATCTACGGTCTTCAGGGTTATGAGCCCTGCACGCTTCCACTGCGTCACATCGCTAGCAGTACTTAAGGAAAGGTCACTTATAAGCCCATGGTCAGGAATTACCCTAACCTTCTGAAGAGAAAAGGAAAGAGCCGTTGCAGGTATATATATTGCTTGACTTATATTTACCATACCATGTAGCAAATAAGATAATAATAATATTTAACATGTTATATACACTAGTCATATTACGATATGGTGGTGAAATCAGAGGATATTGCATTTTGGCCGTAGCGTGCCCTAGCATGTAGCTAGGGCTACTTACAAGAAACAGTCACAACCTACTCCCAAAACATTTAGCATGCACAGATCAATCTACTTTCTCTATACCGGAGTGCACGTATTCCTTTAAAGCACAGCGATGGCCCCTAAAGCAAAAAAGAATCAAGAAACTATCAACTCTCGTCTCCAACTTGTTGTCAAGTCTGGTAAATTCACCCTTGGATACAAGTCGACCTTGAAGTCTATCCGTACTGGTAAGGCTAAGCTCATCATCGTTGCTTCCAACACTCCTCGTCTCCGTGTTTCTGAGCTTGAGTACTACTGTATGCTTGCTGGTGTCCCTACCTACTACTTCAACGGTTCCAACAACGACCTTGGAACTGCTTGCGGTAGACTCTTCCCCGTCGGTGTTCTTTCCATCCTCGAGGCTGGTGACTCCGACATTCTCGAAGCTCTTGCTCCCGAACCCAAGAAGGAGTAAATGTCTCTAAGCAGAGCGAGATGTAGTGATATGCTAGTCAAAATAGTTAGATTGTAACTTCTTTTAACTAAGAAGTGATATGATTATGAAGGTATGTCATGATATTTACACGTAATGCGTGTGCTATCGTAGAAACTTAATGATGTTCAATCCCCACCACCAATTCTTACCAAGTGAACGACTCCTCGTATAGATCCAAGAAAAGCCTTTTGACACCATGAAGCTCAACCACTGCACTTCGCACATCGTCCAATAGTCTCCCCGGGCCACATGCTATTACTGCAATTCGCATGGATCGATCAGCTGTAAAATCTCTTGCAGAAGCAGATATCTCTCTGGAAACAATGTCATGAATTTCCATACGACCACGATCTAGATCTGCATAACTCACGTGCTTCTCCGAATCGTAACTGCTTGTGCAGAAAAATGACGTATGAAGTTTTAACTGTATATCAATATCCTCATATAGATTTTTCAGCTCAAATATTTCATGTGTCACAGCGGCAATCAGATCAGCTTCTTTAGCAGACCAAGCCAACACAATATGAGGAAGTTTATCGGTGCTAGCATCTGACGGCACAGTCGTAGACATAGATTTCGTAGAGCTGATATTGGTCCATATATCCGTCCAGGTAGATAACAGCCTAGAGGTGCGTCTCAGATACTCTCGTTGGATGTAGTAGCGTAAATGCGCCAAGGCGAGCGAGATACCGATACCACCTGCAATACACAATACAGTGTCGTATCGTCCTGATGGTACTGAATGCTGTTGTCTATATGGTCCTTCAACCCATGCACTAAGAATAGCTTTGCCGGTGTAGGTCGCGTTAACAATGTCGAACAATCTCCTAGTAGTTCCAGCTTTGGGGCGTACGAGGAAACTGAGTTTTGTCAACCTCAGATTCTTATCACTAGTGGAACTAGGAATAGAGAGCGATCCATGAGCTTCACTGATCGGGACAGGATCACAACTAGAGACCGTGAAAGGATGAGAAGACAGTATAGGGCCCGCAGAGGGAAAGTAAATATAGACGTATTGCCCAGGAACGTACTCCCACTGTGCAGACGTGAAGAAGGTTACCTTCAACAAACCGCCAGGGTATTTTTCGCATACCAGTTTGGGGTAGTCGCAGCTAAGACGTACGATTTTGTATAGTCGCATGAGATGATCCATGACCCAGAAAGCCGCACTAGCTACGACGAACATATCGAATCGGCCCCACTCCGAAGGGTATCGGCCAGCGACATGCATCCAGCAAGAGACTAAAATGAAAATAGTTAATAAGATATGGAAAAAATGAAACGTTTCATAGAAGTAGTGTCTTATTGGCATGGAGGAGAACATGAGGCAGAGCAAAAGGGAGAGGGTCGCGATTAGACCAAATATAAGGTACTTTGAAGAGATAGTGATGACTTGGTTGCGAGAAAGGCCACGGCAATAATGCACCTGCATAGTGTACAGCACGACATGAACAATAGTGTGTGAGACAAAAATGTAGGATATGTATCTATGGCAAGTAGCAAGGGTATTAGATGATATGTTAGCAAAGATAGTGAAGAGAGAGTTTCTTGCGGCTAGTATGACTAGAATAGGCAAGTTAGCGTATGCGAGTGCACCTGTTCTATTTGCCACTAGTGCAATCAGCTCACTGCGTCTGGATTTAAACCAGGGATGGACGTAGAGGGGATCGTGTATGGGTAAATAGCACGAGTAATTGACGAGGCCGAACGCGAGATTTAGCGCGCCAAAGCAGACTAGCACGAGTGTCAGTCCGCGTGTAGGTAGGTATCCAAGACTATAGGGCAGCGGCTCTGCTGCTCTCCCGCCAAAAAGAGCAGGTAATATGAGGTATTTGCGCACTACTCTTGTGAATTGGTGAGGAAGCCAGGGTTTGACGGCGACATAAAGAAGATATAGCGTCAAAGCCAGGAAAGGGGTAATAATAATGATATATGCTAAAGTAACACTAAATTGTTGATGAGCAACGAATCTTGTAACTGGATCCGGGTTATTACAGGTCATTTCAGGTGCAAATGTTTGCTATTGGTATTGGTATTGGTATTGGTATGGTAAAAGGAGAGATGGGATTGGGGGGTGGGGTGTTGTAAATGCTACTGGATGTAGAAAGGTCGTCAATTCGTAAAAAGTAGATAAATGTGAAGAAAAGTAGTGCAATGATATGGAGAATTGTTTTCATAAATTTTCCGCATGTTTCATTTTTCAGCTTTCTTTTGTTTCTGCATGTTCTCATGTTGTTGCGCCATCGCTTGTAAGTACATAGTGTGTTGCATGAGAAAAGGGTTAGTAGCTGGCAAGGCAGGAAGAGGCGCTGACTCTTGTTTAATAGTTTTTTGAGATTTTGATTGTTTGTTGTCGGTTTCCGCAGGTCGTTTCTTGCCAGCAGAATCCGCAGTTTTTGAAGTATCTTCGGGCTCGTTTTTGCCCATATTGTTCTTGTACTCTATGACTTTCTTCTCTGTCTCTTCATCAGGTGTTAGTTGATCAAGAAGAATCTCTGTTTTGTGACAGTTTGGGCAAACAAAATCTGAATCAAGTAGCGCTTGTTCGATAGCGTCTAAGCTGTATGTTGTACCACAACAGGGTGTCTTCACGGGTTTCTCGAACAGTAAGCCGGTCAGTGGACATATTAGACTAGGATCAGAAGGAACAATTCGACTCGCAGAAGAAGCCTTGACTTTCTCCTGGTAAGATTCCCATGATGCCTTATCGGGCACTGCTACTACGTACTCGCCTGTTTCCGTCAACATAACAGTTTTTGAATTGTCGTCGTCTGCGGGCTTTTCGACAGTTTTGAGGAAACTTTTAGGAATACCGACAGTTCTACGAATGACTTTGCCTTCAAGGTCCGGATTGTTCAGCAAAGGACATGCCTGAATCCAATGGCCCTTCTGGCCGCAGCGAAAGCAAACGTATTTCTCGGGAGGTGGACCATCAGGCACCGGTCGCGCGTATTTCTGATTCGGGGCATACACTGGTCTACTTTGAGCCATATGCTGTTGTGTCTGGCTCCATTGTTCCTGCTGCGCAGAGAACATAGCATTAATGCGATCTTCCTCGTTTGTACCCGCGGCTAGTTGTGGCAACGAGGAAGCTGAAGCTGAAGGTTGTGTTTCCACGTTCTGTTTGCTTGAGTACTTCTGAAAGAACTTCATGCTGCCACTGACGTATCTGACAGCGGTACCATGTTTCGGACGAACCGGTGGACCACGCACGGCAATCACAGAAGAGCTCCTCGGGATAATCGTGGTATCGTCATCAAGCTCCTGATTAGTGTCTGCATTATAGAGCTTTAGCTCGAACTGCGTGCCATCACCCAATTCGTTCGCAAGGATAATTTCACGTTTCATTTCGAAAACAGTGATTCCTGTGCCGTCAAAAGTGACCCGCGATGGTTCAAGCTGCGAGCGGAATCTGTAATAAACGGATGAGGACATTTTGAGCGCCCGAGTGGTTGTCGAAATACAGGTTAGACAAGATCATAGGAAACGCCATTGTTACACCAAACCTTAACCAGAACCATGCACACAAGAATAGGTCATGATGAGGACGGTTTACATATACAACATGGTACTAATAACTACCTTTTAACATTTAATGAGACTCTAATTAACGACCAAACCACTTTTTGGGATTCAAATGACACTTCTATGGACGTCTACGGAGTTATTGGCTGCCTCAAACTGGACGTCCTTTATACTTTCATTATCACAGATGTCCAGCTAGCCGCCTCAATAGCTGGTAAGGACATCTACCGGATAACCAGAGTGGCATCTGTGCCCCTGGAAAATTCGCAGAAACCTTTAAACACCCTCGTGTTCACACCAGATATGGACGAAGAGTCGGATCAAGATTCGGTTCCCTTTGTACCGAAAATCCTCAAAACTATACACCAGCTCCTCCTCCGAGGAATGTATTATTCACACGATCTTGATCTAACAAGATCTATATCTTCGCAATACAAGACTATTCAACAACCTAGCACGTGTTCCCCTCGTTCCTCATTCATCTATAACTGGCACATGTCCAACTTGTTCAGAGACACCTCGCTGTTTACCCCATTGGTTTGCGGGTTCGTTGGTCAAGTGTCTATCCCTTTTATAGATGATACCACTGCAAACCTTTTTTTGATCTCGCTACGTGGAGCGAAGCGTCCTGGGCTGCGCTACCTACGTAGAGGCATTGACACGCAGGGCAACTGCGCCAACTGGGTAGAGACAGAACAGCTCCTTGAATTTAAGCAACAAGAACAACTCAAACTTATAGGATTTGTTCAATTAAGAGGTTCTATTC